TATTCACTGTATGGTAAGGAAGAGGGGCCTGGTGTGTGTGTGTGTGTGTGTGTGTGTGTGTGTGTATCTGCTGGTCCAGAGCTGAGGGAACTCTAACTTAAGCTTGGCACTTGGGGTACCCTTCCTCTTTGCCCTTTCCCTTCAAGGGTGACAGAAGATACTAGAGGGTGGGCAGAAAATATATATACACATGTTAATAAATCTTCTACAATTTCAATATTCTTACAAGGTACAGGACTCACAGGCTACATGGAGTAGAAAAAGCTAATTATTCCCAAATTCCAGAAGGATCATTGTGTTGTTATTTTAAAGAATATCATATGTCCTTTGCTTGGTACCTGTAAAGCCAATTGGAAGTAGCTGGTTTCAGTTTAACTCCCTTTCTGAAGTACATAGTGTCTAAGATCCTTCCTCTTCCTTTCTGCTTTGCATGCACCTTTTTTGTGATATAGACAGCCAACTTATAAAAAAAATACAGCAGCAGTGAAGATGTAGAAGGCTTTGTCCTTTAGGAGGTCACCGACTGGTGGGAGCCACACAAAATACCCTTTCTGTGTGATGTTCATGGTTTCTGGTGGGCAGCAGGTCTGGGAGGCAAGGAAACCAAGGGGAGGGCCTCTTTGCCCAAGTTTCAGAGTCCAGAAAGATCTCGAAGGAGATTTTGCCTAAGCTGTTGCATGAAAGATTATAAAATGTGTTCTTTGCCATCTAATTTGGGGAATTAAAAAAAAGTGCCAGGGAGAAAGTCAGAACCACCCTTATTCTAACCACCCAGAAATAACTATTTCCACCATTTTAGTGTAATTCCTTAGAATCTCTAGGTTTTTTTCTAGGCGGAGCACGTATTTTTAGTTTCTTGTTCTGGGTAGCTGAGAAATCAGCTGCTCATAGAGGCTGTTAGTTGTCTGACATCACAGCAGACGTTCTCAGCATGCCTGGAACACATGTCCTAACACCTCCTCAGCCCAAGCCTAACTTTTCCTCACTTACCATGTATTGTGAACTGGCCTAAGCCAACCTTGTCTGTTCCCTGTCCCTCTGTTTCGATAAAATATCGGTAGACTCCAATAGTTGAAATTAGATGGGAGCTCTAGATTTCCATTCTAACAATTTTGCTCTTGGGCATACATTTTCATGGAAATAAGTCCCACACCAAATTCTGCCACATGTACAAACACCTATGAGCAAGGCCGTATAAATTCTTTTCTAGCTCAAAAAGTTCCTACTCTCTGCCCTTAGGTGCAGCCGCCAGCACCTGGCGTGAAAGGTCAAGGTGGACACCATGCTATTCTGAGGGCAAGACCAGCCTGCAAGTAGGCAAGTCGGGCAGCAGGACCAATAGGGTTACGTTGTTGTTGTCAGGTACGTCGAGTTGATTTTGACTCACAGAACCATGTGACAGAGTAGATCTGCCCCTAGGGTTTTCTAGGCTGTAATTTTTTTTATGGGAGCAGATCACCAGGTCTTTCTCCCATGGAGCTGCTGGGTGAGTTTGAATCACCAGCCATTTGGTTAGAAGCCAAGAACTTAACTGTTGCACCACCAGAGCTCCTTAATAGACTATAGACCATATATATATATATATATATATATATATATATATATATTCAGGAAACCCTGGTGGTGTAGTGTTTAAGAGTTTGGCTGCTAACCAAGAGGTCGGCAGTTCGAATCCACCAGGCGCTCCTTGGAAAACCTATGGGGCAGTTCTGCTCTGTCCTATAGGGTCACTAGGAGTCAGAATCGACTCAACGGCAATGGGTTTGGTATATATATATGTATGTATGTATTTAGGAATAACTTTACACACACAAATTGTAAGTTTAGTCTCCATGAATTTTTACATGTGTATCTACTCATGAAACCACCAGCCAGATCAAAAGGCAGAATATTTCTAGTGCCCCAGAAGGTTCCCTCTTGCCCCTTCCGGTAAATACTGTCCCTAAGAGGTAACCAAAGACTAGACCTCTATCTCCATAAATTAGTATTTCCTGTTCTTAGACTTCATATAAATGGAATCATACAACAGGTGCTCTTTTGTGTCTGGCTTCTCCCATTCAACATTATGTCTCTGATAGTCTGTTTGTTATTGCTGAGCAGTATTCCATTGTACAAATACACTGCAGTTTGTTTATGCATTCTCCTGCCAACAGGCATTGGGTTGTCTCCAGTTTCAGGCTGGTATGAATAACACTCCTATGCACATTCTTGCACATACCATTGATGGACATAAGCACTGATTTCTCTTCATTATGTATCCAGGAGTGAAATTGCTGGGTTACATGACAGGTGTATGTTTAGCTTTAGTGTATAATTTACACTCCCATAGCAGTGTATGAGAGTCTGGTTGCTCCACATCTGCATCAACACTTGGTATTGTCAGCCCGTATTTTAGACCTGTTTGTGGAACGGCTTCCACTAAGCTCTATTATATAGCAAGGCTGCTCTCTTCCTTTACAACTCAGCCTTGCTCCCAAGGGAGAGTTATGAACTTCCAAAGTGCTTTCCAACTAAAAGATGATCCCGGAATAAGAGGATGAGTGGAGTAGAAGAGCTGCCCTGGGGTAGTAGTCATTTCTGACCCCGTCCTGGAGGCCAGGGCTTGGTGCTCACCTGGCTGTGCGGTACATTCTCCTCTTAGCACTCAC